CTGAGACAGCCTAACAGACTCACTGCAGGTGGCTCCTGCCCGTTCCCAGCAAAGGCCGTAGTCACCGCCCCAGCTCAGCTCCGTGCAGGGAGATCACATCAGCAGCTCCTCACCTTGAGGAGACAGCTCAGCCTTCCTCCCCTAAAGCCCATTTAGGAGAGAGATATTGAGTAATTCAGAGGATGGGAGGGTGTTCAGGGGCCCTGGTTCCACAGTTCCCACAGAGATGACCTTGGGGCACTTGCTGACTTTGAGCTGCCCTGGCTAAGGAGCTGCACCCCAGTCCTCATCCACAGCTCACCAAAGATGAAGTTGTCTGGCCTGAAGATCTGCCCGAAGGGCCCTGAGCGCACAGAGTCCATGGTGCCCGGCTCCAGATCCACTAGCACAGCGCGGGCCACGTACCTGCCACCTGAAGGGAACGGGAGGGCGTCAGTGAGGAGAGGGCCGGCATTCCCAGAAGGGTGGTCGCGGAAAGACTGGGGTCTCACCGCTGGCCTCGTTGTAGTACACATTGATGCGTTCCTGCTGCAGGTCACTGTCCGCGTGGTAGGTGCCAGCAGAGTCAATGCCATGTTCGTCAGAGATCAAGAGAACTGCAAGAGGTGCAAGAGGCCAGACAGGCCAGGGCTGAGTCATGGAGCTCAGGGAGCTGGAATTGCCCCAGTCCTTCTCCCACTTCCACCCCCACCCTCAGGCCGCTGGGTCACTTGGTGTTCACCCTGGCAGCCTCGCCAGCCACCCAGCTCTACTGCGTCCGAGGCAGGAAGCCCAGGGACCGCAATGCAGAGGCACCACACCCTCCACTGCCAACATCTTCACCGGCCACCCTGTAGGCATGAGCTGGGACCTCAGAGCCCCAGCTGCCAACCTTTGCACCGATCTGGTTCCCGCACTGTCCAGTTTGGGTGAGCACGATCTCCCTCATAGCCAAGGCAGGACTAGGGCGGCAAGAGAAACGCGAGACGGAAGACCAATCACACAATGACTCAGCACGCAGTCTGCCAATGCTTAAATAGCCCCGTGCCCACTTCCCCCAGCCTTGGTTTGGGCTCCCAGAATAAGAAACAGCTTTACTTTTACACAGGTGTGCCCACCTGTGACTCCCTTGGAGTTTGATGTCTATTGGAGAGCTCAGGTGGCCTTGCTGTGGTCCTTTCCACATTGGGGAAAGCTGGTCAGCTGAAGAACTTCCTCCCATGTCTTTACTGAGACTAAATCCCTAGCTGAGCTGAAACTGAATTTTCCTCCCATGTGGAAGGGGAAGTCTTTTGTTTTCATATTTACAGAGTGCCTTTGCACGTGTCCTGTATTGATGACATACTTTTGTAATTGATGAGTCCTTTCATCTCTTAGGAGATCTGTGGTTAGAAAAAGCTTTCTGTATGCTAACTCAACAGGACCTCATTATAAGTTTTTCTTTGGAGCAGCTCAAACCCATAGTAAGCTATGGGTGTTAGAGATAGTCAGGCCTCTGATTTCGCTACAGTCTTCTTTAGAGTTTTATTAGTTTTTTCACCTTTCAAGAGGACTGCAGTCTCCACACAGAGTGAAGGTGATATTTGATTCCTAAAGCTGAGAACAGGTGTTGGGATACGCCTGCTGTAAAAGAGGGGCCATTGTCACTTTGCACACTTTTAGGTCATCCAAACTGAGGAATTATATCTTCTGGTAAACACATTTCAGATAGCATGGGGAATGCCTTGATCTAACCAGCGAAGGTATCAGTAAGCATTAGCAAATATTTAAAGGTGCCTGAGTAAATTAGAGTTTTCAGTCCTCACCTGGAGAGGTTTCTCAATGTTGGACAGGTGAAACTAGAGGAGGAGAAAACTGCTGGCTGTTTGGGTTATTTCAGGCACAGAGCTCAGGGCAGGATCACCTGTTTTAGTGTCTTGAACAGATTTATCGCCATGAACCAATGAGACATTAACTGAAACAAAGAATCCCTTCTAGGGTGAAAACAATCATGTAAGTGCTTAACTATTTTCCTATGATTAGTATTTGGAATTAGTAAGGTATTACCGTGAGTCAGCCAGCCAGAGGGGTTCTGGACTAAACTGCAATCCCTGGTTCATTTTTGTTCTTCTTCAGAGCACCCTGGCCCAGCTCTAGGTATGCTGACCAGCATGCCCATCAGCTTCAGTGCAGTGACCTTGACTACCGCATCCGCAAGGGCATTTTCTTTTACATGGTCAATCTCTCTTTTGATGTCCTCTGCAATGAATTACAGCCACTTTTCCTTGGCAGCCAGGCAGCATTCTAACAAGCTCAAAATCTGAGTGATGTTGTATGGAAAAGCCCTTTGTGATCAGGAGTCTCTACCCATTCCAAATTGCAGCATATGCATGAAGCACTAAAAAGTCATACTTAGAATCAGTGTAAATGTTAACTTTTACATCCTTCCCCGACTGCAGGGCTCTGGTAAGTTCAATTAACTTAGCTTTTTGAGCTGAGGTAGAGGCCAGCAAGGCATGTGACTTGATTAACTTGTGCTGACTAATAAGAGCATATCTAGCCCTCCTGTCTTCCTGATGCATAAAACAACTTGCATCTGTTAACCCCTCTTCCTTGGGGTGGTCAAGGAGCTCATCTCAAGTCTGGCCTGCTAGAATAAATTTGTTTCATAACCTGTGACATGGTTTGGCTCTGTCTCCAGTCAAATCTTATCAATTGTAGCTCTCATAATTCCCATGTGTCTTGGGAAGGACCCAGTTGGAGGTAATTGAATCGGGGAGTGAGGCGGATCTTTCCCACGCTGTTCTTGTGACAGTGAATAAGCCTCATGAGATCTGATGATTTTATTTTTATTTCATTTTATTTTTTGAGACATAGTCTTGCTCTGTTGCCGAGGCTGGAGTGCAGAGGCATGATGTCGGCTCTCTGCAGCATCTGTCTCTTGGGTTCAAGGGATTTTCCTGTCTCAGCCTCTTGAGTAGCTGGGATTACAGGTACCCACCACCATGACAGGCTAATTTTTGTATTTTTAGTAGAGATTTGGTTTCACCATATTGGCCAGGCTGGACTCAAACTCCTGACTTCAGGTGATCCACCTGCCGCCTTGGCCTCCCAAAGTGCTGGGATTACTCCCCTTTATAAAGGGTAGTTTTCCTACACAAGCTCCTTTGCCTGCTGCCATGTAAGAGATGTAACTTTGCTCCTCATTTGCCTTCTGCCGTGATTGTGAGGCCCCACCAGCCATGTGGAACTGTGAGTCAATTAAACCTCTTTTATTTATAAATTACCCAGCCTCATATATGTCTTTACTAGCAGCATGAGAACAGATTAATACAACCTGTATGCCGGGAAGGCTGGGAGCACCTGTGTGCTCTAGCAGATAAGGAGCTGGGTTTATAGTTTGTCAGACTTCAAGGGTTATGTCTGGAGTGTCTGGCAATAAGGCCTGATGCTTTAATAAATGTTCTCCTGTAATCCACTGGTGCCCTTTAGCTTCTAGGACCACCTTCCCTTGGTGTGGGGTCAACAAACCTTTAGGTGCTCTCCTAATGTTTATTAGCCTTGCCTACTAGAAAAGTTGTAGCAGCAACAGCGCTAAGAAATCTAGGACACCCTGAGCCCACCTGGTCTATCTGCTCAGAAAAGTAGGCTACTGGCCTTGGAATGTCTCCCAGTTTGGGGACAAGATTACCCAAGGCCTATGCCTTGCTTTTTGGCCACATAAAGAAAAAATGGTTCATCCAACTTGTGGACACCCAAGGCTGCAGCAGAGCCTAATTTCTCTTTGAAAGTATTGAAGGTTAGCTTGCAGTTCTAATTACATTGAAGGAGCTCTAATATTTTCCTCTTAGTGTTTTATATAAAGGCTTGTCTAAGTGTCCAAATCTGGGCACCCATAAGCTGCAGTGCCCGACTGTCCCCTACAAAGGCCCACAGCCATCTGTTGGACTAGGACTCTTGGATGACTAAAAAAACTTTTTCTACTTCAAGGGATGTTGATCAGTTCCAGAGGCTAAGACAGATTCCAAATATTTGAGTCTTTGAGTCGTAATCTGAGCCTTGTATGGTGACACCCTATAGCCGCCATTTCCCAGGAAATGTATCGATTTAACAGTATTATTATCTGAGTCTTTTTTAGTCAGGCTAGCAAGGAGCAACTCATCTACATACTGAATAATTGTGCCCCTTTGCAGTTCTGAATTTCTTAAGTCCTTAGGTAGAACATTTTCAAATAATAGGGGCAAACCCAGAACTCTTCAGAGAGGACTGTCCCGGTTAGTTTGGAGGCTAAATGAGTATCTAGATCAGTCCATTCAAAGGCAAACATGGTGAATCTGGATGCATTGAGATGCAGAAAAATGTGTCTTTCATACCTAAGAATGTAAACCAGCTTGCATTCACCGAGACTTGGGTAAAAATTGAGGACAATGGGGTGTACGGAGACAAGAACTGCATTTATTAACGCTCTAAGGTTTCTGACAAATCTGTAGGCTTTTGATCTGGTAACATGGGAGCATTGAAAGGAGATTCTCATGGTCTTAATAAGTCATATGGCAAGAATTTGGCAATAAGGGGTTGAATTTCCTCTGGTGCTCCCTGCCTTAAAGTGTATTGTCCTTTCCAAGGGTGAGGAGCATGAGGCTGAAGTTGGATTTGAATCGGGGTGGCCTTTAGTGTGTTTCCCAGAGCCTGTGTGGCCCAAACCTCAGGATTTACTTGAGATAACACCTCAGGTGGTATATGTGACAGCTATCCTTAACTTCT